GTATTTTGTTTGTACTGTATTTTTATTTCTATAACTGTAGAGATTAACGAATTGTAAATACACTGAAATGCTATATTTTAAATGCATTTATACAGTGTTTTATTGATTTTTAGTACAGAATTTAAAAATTTGATAACATTTCTGCTACAGTAGACAAGGATGTCATGTCATCATAAAATTGCATTAAGATTTAGTTTAAATTCTAAATTCAATTGATTTTTTAGTTATGATTTACACGAATAGTTGTTATCTTTTTATTATAATACTGTATACCATATTATGGTGTAAATGTACACGACTTCCCTTTTACAGTAAATTACTATAGATTTACATTTAATTCATTAAATATAAATAATTAATATTTTAGGAAATAAACGTTTGAGTTTATAATTTAGATATTATACTATAACTTATTTTTTATATTAAAATAAATTAAAATCTTTATTACTTTTATAAATAAAGATAATTTACTTTTGCGAAATAAAAAATTTAAATTATTTTTTTTATTCCATTCCATATTAATGATGACATTTTGTTTTTCAATATTTAAATATCAAATTGAACCACAATTCAGCTTTAAAATTGTGGTTTATAAAATGCCCCCGCTAATAATTAATAGTTTACAATATTTTATACAAATACGCTTAATATTCGCAATAAGAGTAAAAGTTGATGAAGCAAAAATTTTTAGTTTTTCATAAATATACAGTACATACATACAGTATATACTGTTTCCGTAAAACCTTTTTAGTATGTATATTTAAAATGTGTATTTTATTTTATTGGTAAATAAGCCCGTTTTAAACAGAATCCTAAAATACATCTCTATATCGATATCAGCTATACCTAAGTTATATCAAGTGTTTAAAGAACTGTAACAAAAATTTTGGCTTTAGAAAGAATTTCTCATTTTTGTAAATCTAATCTAATTTATAATATAATCAAAAAATGTCGTACTTTTCCGATATTTTATATAACACTGCATACTTCAGTGTCCGACACAACTCATACCGACAAACATAAACATTGTACAACTGATTTCATTACAACACTAGGCTTTACGATAGCAATGTATAGTTTGTGTTGGTATGAGTTCATGAAAATTGTCAAAGTAATTTTATTTTTAAAATTTGACATAACAGACAATGTTTGGTAACATTATTTTTCATGAGAACTTAATTTTGACATGTATTTAGCATTTCACTTAAAAATGGGTTTGAATCTAACATTGTGTCAGGGTAAAAATGTTTAATTTTTGTTTTTTCGATTTTTATTGTTGTTTGCGAGTATTATACTCAATGTAAAATAACTTGTAAGGTATGCACACATTATTAAATAATTTTTGTAAAATACAATTTTTGTAACATTTTTATATGATACAGTGCAACCTCTCCATAGGGAACGAGCCCATGCATAGCCAAAGTGTTTCTTATAGAGAGGATTTCTCCAAAAGAGGTTCAATTATAAGTATAGGAAATCCAGAATATACAAATCCGTATATCAAATATATATGGTATTAAATTATATATATATATATAACAAATGTATATTAAAACCGTTCCTTAAGAGAAGTTGCCCCAAGAGAGGCTGCACTGTACATTAAAATATTCAAAAAAATTTAATTTAAAATTCTTTTCTTTAGAAATAATTTTCAATGAATTGATTTGTTTTTCACAAAACATTTAAATTACTTAAGAAAACACGAGTGATTACAAGTAGTTTGTGTAAATTTATGATTAATAAAGTTTTGCATTTGGCATTTTTAAATTTGATAAAGTTCACTATAAGTATGGCCTGTAGTTATACTGTACTGTATATTATAATTTATAAATGAAATCACAGTAAATGATATTGTGTTGAGTTTGTGTTGAAGTTGTATTTGAGATGTTTGTTATATAAGTGTTGAAATTATTGATGAATGTAAAAGAATGAAATGCCTGATCATTTGCTTTACCTCCCAATCTATGCCATTGAAGCACGTGGTGTCGTGTGTTATTGTCGCAATTAAAACTATCGGGAACATTATGCTGGTAAGGTATGGGCACAGTTGCCCACTAGACTCCCAATTATAATATTCAGTCTAATATGAATCGGTATAAATTGGGTCAATAATAGGTCACATTTCTCCTCAATTTCATGTTTGCTGCCATTGGTTGTCAACTCTTTAAGGTAATCAATAAACCAGAATATTGTTCACTAATCCCATTATATAATAACAATTAGTTATAGACAATTCGTTAGAATTGTGTTCAAACATAAATACATGTTTTATACAAATATTTTCTATCATATACTCAGTGATCAATATTATGATTAACACAGAATTGCAAACAATGTATTCTATATTAAATCACTATCCAATAGAAATACAGTGGTATTTGAGATGATTATTTTCACATGAGATATGAATGTTTTTCATTGCATGAATATCTAGAATCTAGATCATATCTATATCTACACTATAACTATTACATGTGTATAATATGCACACTTATTTGTATGTTCTGTTCGCTCATCTAATCGATTGTTAAAGCATTGAATGTGAGACAAACCGCTAATCATTTAAAAGTCAAACTAATCAATAGAACAAACGATATGCTGTACAGCATATAGTATAACAGATATCAATGATATGTATTTAATATATAAATTGAAATGAAATTACAGACAAATAATACATTAACTGCATGTTATCAATGATCTTCCAATACCAGCACGTGGTTAAGTCAGTACTCGTGGCCATTAAGATGATCGGTCAGATTCTGATGGTTACATATCTCCTACAGTTCATGTTTGCAGTCGTTGCCGTTCAGCTTTTCAAGGTATACATCCCTTACTAACAATAGCTATCATTCAAACTTTTCACCCGTAATAGACCGCATATATTGAATTATAGTTTACAATCATACAACCTTTGTCAAATCCACTTATAATACAATATATGCGAGATGATAGGGTATTAACATAAAATCAATTTAACTTATGCTAACGTTATACAAGTAATACTTTAAAACCGACAACTTGCTATTAACGCTTATTTATTACTATTTATTAACTATTTTCATTTTATATAAACAATTATAGCAAATGCTTACATTTTCATCTTTGATTAATTTATAAAATACTTTAGCAATAATTTTAATTAACATTAATGTAATTGTGTTTACTATAATACTATAACGTAATATAAAATAATTTGCTAAATTTAAGTACATTAATGCTGATTATATGATTTCAAGAAATAATAACTATAATAGTTAAGCAATTTTAATATATGAATGCGGGGTTACATTATTAGTTATGTTACAAGTTATGGCAAATAAACTTTTTATATAAGATTTATAACTAACTATTTAATTACTAAATAATATTTTTAATTAATTATTTAACTTATAGATCATTTAGCTAATTGCTAACAATCTATTACTAAACTTATAATTTAAAATCTTTTAAGTGAAAATAATAAACTAGATTTAAATATGAATTCAATGAGTGAAAATGGTCTCAATTGAAAAACTGTTGTTATGATAGGAAACTATTTAAACTGGTGTTGAATACTGTGATAATTTAAGGTAATTTATAATTGACTAATTGTTTACTTTTAAAATAGGGAACATTTTATTTTTAATTAATTATTTAACTTATAGATCATTTAGCTAATTGCTAACAATCTATTACTAAACTTATAATTTAAAATCTTTTAAGTGAAAATAATAAACTAGATTTAAATATGAATTCAATGAGTGAAGATATAAGTGATGAAAATGGTCTCAATTGAAAAACTGTTGTTATGATAGGAAACTATTTAAACTGGTGTTGAATACTGTGATAATTTAAGGTAATTTATAATTGACTAATTGTTTACTTTTAAAATAGGGAACATTTTATTACTGTAGCGATAGATCAAAAGCCATTGAAGAGGAGTGTCAGTGAGTGTTAAGTTTTGTAGTAATTGTTATGAATTGTTATGAGTCTTATAACGATTAATAAAATGATTTTAGAGGACATTTCATTGATTATGTGGACAATAAGCCTGAAGTAAAGGCAAGGGAATGGAAAAACTATGCGTTTAATTTTGATGATATCGGGGAAGCGATGTTAACTCTATGTACAGTCTCCACATTCGAGGGCTGGCCCGGCCTTCTTCATCACTCGATTGACTCTCACGCCGAAGATTACGGTCCGATTCACAACTTCCGTCCATTTGTGGCCATCTTTTACATCATCTACATAATAGTGATCGCATTCTTTATGGTCAATATATTCGTCGGCTTTGTGATCGTCACCTTTCAGAATGAAGGCGAACAGGAATACAAGAATTGTGAACTCGATAAAAACCAACGCAATTGTATTGAGTTCGCACTTAAAGCCAGACCTGTGCGGAGATATATACCGAAAGCACGTTTTCAATACAAAGTGTGGTGGTTAGTGACGTCCCAATACTTCGAGTACCTTATATTTGCATTAATCCTAACCAATACAATCACATTAGCCATGAGATATGACGGACAATCAGATCAATATTCGCGTGTATTAAACGTTCTCAACATTATATTCACCGCATTATTTACAGTGGAATTTCTGCTTAAACTCATGGCCTTTCGATTTAAAAACTATTTCGGCGATCCGTGGAATTGCTTTGATTTCTTCATAGTATTGGGAAGTCTTATAGACATTGTTTACGAACAGTTGAATCCGACCTCTTTAACAGACAAAGTGAGTTCTGCAAGTGTTAGACCGACTTCTGTGATGAATTTCCTGCGCTTATTCCGAGTGATGCGTTTGGTTAAGCTGTTGAGTCGCGGCGAAGGCATTCGGACGTTGTTGTGGACTTTTGTCAAGAGTTTTCAGGCTCTGCCTTACGTGGCATTACTTATATTGATGTTATTCTTCATATATGCAGTGATAGGAATGCAAGTGTTCGGCAAAATTGCGTTAAACAACGAAACAAACATTCATAGAAACAACAATTTCCAGACCTTTTTTCAAGCAATACTAGTGCTGTTCCGGTCGGCGACGGGCGAGGCGTGGCAGGACATTATGCTCGCCTGTACTTATAATGACGACGTCTTGTGTGACCCCAAGTCCGAAGAAGGCATGTCTAACGACAAGTCCAGCTGTGGCTCCAATTTTGCAATTCCTTACTTTATATCGTTTTATATTTTGTGCTCTTTTCTAATCATAAACCTATTCGTTGCCGTAATAATGGATAACTTTGATTATTTAACTCGTGATTGGTCTATACTGGGACCCCACCATTTGGATGAGTTTGTCCGACTGTGGTCAGAATATGACCCAGATGCAAAGGGCAGAATTAAGCACTTGGATGTGGTCACTCTACTTAGGAAGATATCTCCCCCTTTAGGATTTGGAAAGTTATGTCCACATCGAGTCGCCTGTAAACGATTGGTTTCAATGAATATGCCGTTGAATAGCGACGGGACTGTTATGTTCAACGCAACCCTCTTTGCTATCGTCAGGACTGCTCTAAGGATTAAAACGGACGGCAATATCGACACCGCGAATGAAGAACTACGAGCTGTGATCCGTAAGATCTGGAAGCGGACGAGTCCTAAGCTGTTAGACCAAGTGGTGCCTCCGGCCACCGATGACGAAGTGACTGTCGGCAAATTTTATGCTACTTTTCTCATTCAAGACTATTTCAGACGCTTTAAAAAGAAAAAAGAGGAACAGAAACAGAATTGTGACGAAGAGAATACCGTTGCTCTTCAGGCAGGACTCAGGAGTTTACATGAATTCGGACCTGAGATCAGAAGAGCTATATCTGGAAATCTGGACGAAGACAACTTTGAAAACGGACCCGATTGGGAACCTATGCATAGACGCAACCATTCCTTGTTTGGTAACGTCTGGTCAACTGTTAGACGAAAACGCCTGCATTTGCCTCAAAGGACCCGTTCTTTCAATCAAACCAATCGTAACGGCATTAGAGATGCCATAACAGCAATAGTAGCCGCACATCAACTCAACTCTTTATCGCATACCTCTTTGTCGCACATCAGTGACAGTCCTCTCACACCAAACAAAACACAAATACATTTACCCAATGGTGTTGAGCACACATCCCGTGAAAGGTATTCATTATCAATGTATTTATTAGTTAAACCACAAAAATAACACACAATATACACATGTACTGTACCTACTAATATGAGTATTAATAATAATCTTATTCATTGGGTTATGATTTATAATACTGTAATTATAAAGAATCCATTTTTAATGATGATTTTAGTGATGATGGGCTTCAATTAGGTTTCACTAAAAAGGTCCATTTTTAGTAGAAATTAATATAACTATTACCGGTACTAAAAAATTACTATAACAATTTGACTTATAAAGAATACAATCCAATCCAACACATAATGAATAATATAGTGTTAACAATGTAATAAAGTTATAATCAACTAGTTCATATTCAGTATATACCGTAAGAGCATTCTAATTTGTAAATCTCAATACAAAACTTAAACTAAAAATTTAAGCCTTTTGTGAATGTGTACAGAATCTGTACAGAAATACAGTAACTGCTAAATTTATTACTTACGTTATATTTTAATTTGCTTTTGGATTTTGATAAGTTATCAATGATAACACAAGTAATCTAATGCTTGATTTTAGTTATTAAGTACTAACTGTAAATGTAATTAATATTTAATAGCATTATTAACGCCATAACAATTGAACGAATAAATGAAAATATTGATAACGATAGTAAAAGAAGATCAGCCGTAACTGTATCTCTAACTGTGACCAGTCCTCTGCCAACTAACACAAGTGTTTCACATGGAGTTGAATTGCTGTCAAACAATAGTTACCTTCATTTAGATACTCTTCGAAGCTCTAATTTGAATCCCTTTTCTAACTTAAATGTCGATCAAAACATGCCTTCACTTCTTTCTACTAACAATGATTGTAATGAAACCAAAACTAATGCCAATATTATAATAAGCGATCCATCATTTGCTTTCAATCAATGGTTAGTAAATTGAAATTAGTTTATATTTAGATTGAAAATGTTGATGAATAGAGTTGTGAATAGCAGTGACATTGTGTTGTCTATTAACCGGCGCTTACTTTCCTTACAATGAAATAGTTGTTCAATAGATGACTCGAGTCGTGCCCACCCGTCAACCCCGCCAACCCCTCCGCCGCGAAAACTACTAAACACCGCTTCTTTCCGTAAAAAGATTCCCTGTTTTCGCAAACAAGACAGTAATGAGTGGCCAATTGTGGAGACAATTAGATGTAGATCTGGTAGTGTTGGCAGTGCTGACAATGCTTTGACTGTAACTGACGTACAAATGAGTGAATCGAGTGCCAAAAGTGGACGAAAACGATCGCTAAGCCATATCTACAATATCGCTGCCTCTCTTAGGTTAGCACCAGTTCCGGCTATGGCTGTCGCCGGCTTTATACCTGAGCCACGATTACTGGGCACTCACCGAATGCCATACCGACAAAGTCCTCAAAGGGCCTCATATCACGGGAAGCCAAGCGATTCACACCGATTGCATGCTTACGAATCAAACACTCCTTTCGGTGATGTCGTCGGAAGCGCTGAAAGTCTTGTCGGACGGGTTCTCTATGAACAAGGATTAGGCAAATATTGTGACCCAGACTTTGTCAGAGCCACACAAATAGAACTGAGAGAGGCATTCAATTTAACACAAGAAGGTAACCACTTTCTCCTAATTAAACCATCTCTTCATTTTGATCCAATTCTACGTAATTTGCATTCTCTATGATATCAGAGATGGACAGAGCGGCTCATCGTATCCTAAAAGCTGAGACCAGTACAACACCTGACTCGCCATCGTTTCACACTAAACAACATATCTCTTCCGATGAAGACGATGATGGTCTCCAAGACACTAAATTATAGCATCATTTATAATACTTTTCAAATTAGTGCCAAAATTCATGCCTTCATATCATTTCCTATAATCTCTACAAAATGTGATACTATTATAATTTAGTCTAAGCTTTAATCCAAATATCATTACTAAACATTGATTAGTCTTGAAGTCCACCAAATAGTATTGGTTTATACTTAACTGTAATTCATTGTATGTTTAGTGCCTTACGTTTTATTGATATTTTCATATTTGGTGATACAATGTTTAAATAAAGTGTTTTACAATTACAGTCGCTGTATCATTATTTATGATCATTGATGACAATTGCTATCCATTCCATATAAAGAGCATCTGCACCAGTAATGCCAAACAATGTATTCAAACTGATTTTATTGCAATAACCATTGTTATTAAGTTAATCATGTATATATCAAATTGTCAGAAATTTATCTGGGTTCAATTCTATCATAACAGATCTAAAATCGTAAAAACGTGATCCTAGTTTTGGTTGATAATGTCACATTATTAATGTGTGTATGATACTTTTTACAATGGGCATTCATAATGGGTTAGTTGTAAAAAGTTCTAACATTGCTTATAGAGGTTTAAATGTACAAATGAATTCACATTTGCATCCAAACTATTGCCTATGATATAGGCCCTATTATAGGCCCTATATATTGGGTTAGTTGTAAAAAGAGTGACACAACTGTATAACTGTATAATCAAGTGATGGCATCAGTGATGCAGTGATGCAGAGATGCTGTCAAACATAACTGTTATTTGTGTACATTATATGAGTGCAAACATTGCGTAATGTATAGCACGTGACACAAACTTGTTGTACACATACAGTAGTGAGCAATGGACCCGATTGTGGACCCAATGGACCCGATTGTGGACCCAATGGACCCGATTGTGGACCCAATGGACCCGATTGTGGACCCAATGGACCCGATTGTGGTGATCGGCGGAGGCATTGGTGGTGTCGAGTGTTGCCAACAGTTGGCACAACAATTGCCTCAAAGAGCTATTGTTTTGATCAGTAGTTCAGATATGATTAAAGTGTCGACAGTTAGAAGAATCGGTCAAACAATGGATGAGTTGAATGTCTCCGAAGAAAGTCATCACTATTTATGCCATAAATATGACAACATTGCCATTATATGCGATCAAGTGATGTCTTTGAGTGCTTCCGCACATTCATTATCACTAAAGAGTGGACAGACTGTCAGATACGACAAATTGTGTGTCTGTTTGGGCGCCAAACCAAAAATGATTGAAATGCAAGACTCGGTGAAAGACAGGAACCGATTAAGTGATTATATATTAGTTATTAGAGACACACAAACGGTTCATGAATTGCACAACAGATTAAAGAGTTGTCAACGAGTGGTGATTGTGGGCAATGGAGGCATCGCTACAGAACTGGTCCATCAAATAGTGAATTGTCAACTCATTTGGTGTATGAAAGATGAGTCAATGGGTGCCCCATATTTCGATGCAATGGCCGCTCAATTCCTGTCCAATCGATTGAATGCTGAGCCCCAAGACTGTACCGCCGATGACTGTCCAAACATTTCCAAACGTCTTAACTATCGTATTGTAAACATTGAACAAAATGTCACCCAAACTGATCAACCATTTGGTGCCGCTTTGGGACCCGATTGGAGTCAAATGCAGCCAATGGTAGGCTCTATAGTGGGCGCCAAGAATGTCACCATTGAAGCCAATTGTGAGGCAAAGAGTATTTATGATTGTTTTGAGTCAATCGATATCTCGAAAAAGCCTTTTATATACAAATCCGAAGGTTTGTTATTATTATAACTAAATTTAATATTAATAATGATATTAATAATGATGTTTAAATTTAGAGACTAATGATTGGCCGGTATTTGTTGAGCTCACAAATGATGCCATTTATGGCTGCGATCTGATTATCTGTGCGACTGGAGTGGTGCCCAATACGGCACCTATTCTTGAAGGCAATCACTTTCATATTGGATCCGATGGAGGCCTTAAAGTGAGATTTGCCACATAATTCTTGTTATGTAATTGTTATATAATCGGTCGTCCATTTTTGTAATTCATTTATTAGTCAAATAGTGTCTAATAATTGAATATTTGGTTCAATTGTAAACGTATCTATAAGTT